CTCTCCAGGAGGGCGCTTCACCTTGAAGAGCCACCGGCCATCGACTATGTTCACCCCAGGTGGGGGAACTGCGTTAACAAAGGTACTGGTGGATCTCCAAGATGCCATCTCCTGCTCCATGGCAGCTATCCACTGAGAGGCCCAGGGTCCCGAGGTGGCCTCAGTGTAGGTGCGAGGGGTCGGGATGTCAAGGGCGTCTGGGTTACCCTCAGGGACTAGCAGCATGGAACAGAGATGGGGAGCGGCCTCAGACAGGAAAGCGAGCTTGTACTGCCTGCCCTCAAGGACGTCACTGCCAAGGGTAGCCACACCTCGGATAGGCGGAGGGCAGGCAGGGTCAGAGACCAAAGCGGTGGCGTAGTCCAAGCGGCGGGTAGCGGCGAAGTCAGTGACAGCAGCAACAAGAGCTGACAGACTCGAGACAAGAATGGACGGATCGGTAACAAGAGAGGCAAGGACACGAGAAACAAGGGGACGTGCAGAAGGGAGGAAGTCAGAGAACGGAGGCGGGGCCACAGCAAGCAACAACGGGGGAGGAGACGGGAGGAGAGGAGGAGCACGGGACGTGTAAAAGTGAAGCAACATAGGTGAGAACAGGGAACAGGGGAGGTAGGACGAGCACGAGATGGACGACGAGACCAGACGTGAGATAGAGGATTCAGGTCAGGAGAGAGGGGGGGAGACACAGGAGGAGAATGGGGAGGAAAACGAGCCGAAGAGGAGTTTGGAGGAGGAAACACCAGACCGTAGACCGGCGGAGGAGGTGGCGTCGTCGACAGAGGAGGAAACGGCAGGCAGCCAGGGGAAGGACGACCGAGGAAGCGAAGAGCAGACACCGACGGCGACTGCTGCGGCTGCAGCTCGACTTCAACACCAGAACCTCTAGCAACAGCACAGCTCCCTCCAACAAGCTCCACGCCAGCACCCCCAGAACGGGAACCCGCTTCAGCACACACTCTAGCATGCTCCCCAGCACCCCCAGAACGCACGAACCCCAGTGGCGGTGACGACGGCAGTTGTGGCCGCGGCGAAGACGGCAGTGGCAAAGGCGGCTGCGGCGGCGACGGGGAAGCATGACCGGGGCTGGGAGGTGCGGGGGGAGGGACTCCGCAGAGCCACGAGAGTCAGCAGACTCCTTGGCAAGGACACCCGATGGGAGAGGGGTGACGTGAGACACACCAGACGGGGCAGGGAGGGGAGGGGGGGGAGCCGGGGCGACCGGGGGAGGGGGATCCAGAAACAGGGGGGGAGTAACCAGGGGACCACGGTGGGGAAGGCGGTGGTAAAAGGAGACCAACTCGTCAAAGGTGACGTCACGGGAGTGAAAGAAGCGGTGAGACGGCGGGTGGTACAAGTGCCTGTCGGACGAGTCGAGGGGGAAACCTAGGAAGACACAGGGGACGGTACGGGCAGTGAGCTTGTCCATGCCAGAGGCACGAACGTGAACAAGGTAGCCCCAGATGTGGAACCCCGACGTGTCACCAGGGGACCCGGTCCAGAGGAGGGTCGGTGAAACCTGCGGCCGCTGTGGGTGCGGCCACAGGTTAAGCTAGTGAGCAGCGTAGCGAATGGCGAAGGGCCATAGATAATGGAGTGCACCGGCATGGATCATGGAGGTACGAGCCACCTCCATGACCAAACCGATGCATCGCTCAATGACCCCATTCTGCTGCGGGGAGTCCGAAAGAGTGTACGTCTAAATGATGCCCTCCGCATGACAGAAATGACGAAGGCAACCAGAGGCGAACTCGCCATCGCGGTAGGAGTGAAGACGCAACACAGGGAGACCTCGGTGCACACGCGCAGAGACAAGCCACGGGATAAGAACGTCAGACATGTCAGCCTTCCGCTCCAGGGGAAACACGGTGGTGTAGCGCGTGAAGTTGTCGACAAGCACTAGGAAGTAGCGTTCGTGACGGGACCCATGGACTGGGGCGGGGCCCCAGAGGTCCATGTGCAGGGTCTGCAGCGGTGCGGCGATGGGGGGGAAAGAGGAGGAGTGAGGGACACGGCTGAGCCGGCCCTCGATGCAGGGCGTGCATGGCGGCGCTGGTGAGGAGGGGAGCGCAAGGAATGACTCAGGGAGGCCTAGGACAAGACGGTGCTGGGACATGTGACGGAGACGGGTGAGGGCGGGGTGACATAGACGATGGTGCCACAGAAGCGATAGGTGATTAAGCGACCGACACGAGCACGCTGCAGCAACCTGGGAAGACGCCGGTACCTGGGGAGGTGTCCCAACCGAGGGGGGACGCGGTGTCCAGCGTGAACAGTCCGGACACCGGGCCCCGGGGGAACGTGATGAGGGGAGCACCAGTGGCAGCCTCAGTACAGACAGCGTACCGCTCGTGCCTAGGGAACGTAGTGGTGACGCCAAGGTCCTGGAGGCAGCTGACAGAACCTAGGTTCCTAGAGAACGAGGGGATGTGCAGGCCTGTAAGGGAGCCTGAGGGAACTGGCAGACAAGGGAGAGTAGTGGAGCTACGGGCAACTACAGGACCGAAGGAAGGGTTTGCAAGAGCAACTGCAGCAGGAGCGGCGTAAGTATAGTGGAGTCGCGAAAGAAACACCGGGAAGCGCCGGAGTCCAGGGTGAAGGAGAGCGCGGCAGTGGCGATGGAGGTTGGAGGAGCGAGGGAGGACCCAAGGCTAAACAAGGCAGGGGATCCTACGCCTGACGTAGCAGGGGAGCTTGAACTAGGCACACCTACGCTAGACGACACAGGGTAATAGGATCCAGTCACACTAGAGATATCAACATACAGTACATACAAAGCAGAGCTAATCTTATCCATGTCCATTTCAAAGATCGTAACACCACGACGGAGCAGACTGTGCCAGTCGGGGAGGTCAGGCGACGGGCCGAAGCGGAGACGAAACAGGTCGTCTAGACGACGAAAGCAACAAGTGGGGGTATGGCCGATCTTACTGCAAACGAGGCCGCGACGAGGACCGGTCTGGAGCTGGTACTGGCAGCGCCCATCACTATGACTACCATCCTACGGCACGTCGCGCGAGCGACCACTGCAACCACCGTCACCTCCTGCTCCAGGCCACCCGGGTGGGAGACGACCGACACGCCGCTGTTGCTGCTGCTGCAGCGGCTGCTGCTGCTGGTCCATCGACAACGCCTGCTGCTGCTACTGCTGGGACTGCTGCTCCGAGGCACCAGCCCCAGCCCCCTCGTCAGTACTACCAGCAGGTGAGCCACCTCCACCACCGGCACCACCCCCTCCTCCATTACCTCCGCCGCGCCCAGCCGTGGGACGGCGACCCTTACCCGGACGAAACTGCACTGCGACGGCTGTCTCCGCAGCCGGAGCTGTCTCAGCAACCGCTGCACAATCGTCGGAGTAAGCGCACTAAGCAGGGGCATAGCCCTGAATGATAGAGACGGGCACGGTACTACTAGACTGGACGATAGAGCGCTGACGAGTCTCTAAGGCAGACAGGGTGTCAACTAAGTCAGTGAGGGTGAGGTCAGCGGGGTGGAGACTTAGGAAGTGATCGCTGGCGGTGGCAAGGCGGTCAGGGAGGCAGGTGGCAAGTAGGTAGAGGGTAGAGCAGATGGGGGGCTGAAATGCACGAAGCTGGCCCTCAGTGCAGGTAGCGCGCCAGGTCGTGTCTAGCGTGCGCAGGTGGGCGGCTAGGTCAGCGACAGTGGGGAAAGACAGTGGGCGGCTAGGTCCCCCGGGAAAGAGCATGAGCAGGATCAGGCGACCTACGGAGGCAGAGGGCGGGGTGGAATAGCGTGGGACAACAGCCGCTAGGAATTCCTGCACAGTCCTGACCGACCTAAAGTGGGGGCGCTCACACAGGGGAAGGGCATGACTAATCGCAAGCTGTGCGACCGCGTCACGCGACAACCAGACCGCACGGACAAGGGCAGCAGCGGCAGCGGACTCACAGTCAGCAGACGTGGGGTCAGCGGGGAGGGCAGCAGGGGGGTCCGGCCAGGGGAGCATACCGTCGATGTGGACAGCCAGGGAGTGGCCGTCCTGCCGCTGACCAGTCAGGTGTCGTTGGAGGTCGACGAGCCACGAGTCGAACTTAATCGGCTGCCCCTCCGCATCAAACCGCAGGACAGAGTTCGCCGTCATGGCCGCTGCAGCAGCAGAAATGCAGTACTGGGAAGTAGGGTGCGGTGATAAGCGGTGCTGTGCGGTGCAGTATAGTGCAGAGCGGTGCAGTGCGGTGCAGAGCGGTGCAGTGCGGTGTAGAGCGGTGCCGGGCGGTGCAGCGCGGTGTAGAGGGCCGAGGACGGCGGCGAGGCGTCTAGGAGACGGGGCCGCGGGCGGCAAGGCGACGGGGCCGGCTAGGCGAGGGGGCCAGCAAGGGGTACGGGGCCGGCTGGGTGACGAGGCCGGCGAGGAGGCGGGGCCGACTAGGAGGGGGGGCCAGCTGGGAGGCGGGGCCGCGAGGTGACGGGGTCGTGGGGCCGCTAGGTGACGGGGCCGCGGGGCCGCTAGGGGACGGGGCCGCGGGGCCGCTAGGGGACGGGGCCGCGGGGCGACGAGGCGGCTAGGACCTAGGGCGGAAGCGCTAGGGGGGGGGGAGGGGACCTACCTACTCATGATACCATGTTCAAGTGAAAGAAAATGACTAGAATAAGACATAAAAGGGAATATAACCTATTGGGTTGTACTCCCTAAGGCACAACCCTATATGGTCTACAGAAACATACAATATATGTTTGACATACAAAACTAAGGCTGTACTCGCTAAGAACTAAACTAGCTAGGCTATAAACAAATATGACCTAGCTAATCTTTATAAATATACTTGTTGGCAGACAGCTCTTAGAGGGGACAGCACTTGGCATTTGTATCTCCCCTCCCCCTCTTCCCAGTCATCGTTTACACGATCTAAAATTTGTACCATATGTATTGTAGGCTAACTAGGTGTAGACTACAAAGGGTACAACACAAATGTAGGAACCGTGTCCTGCATGTGACTCCTCATTCATTCTCTTAAGTTTAACATCAAGTACTTTATTTACGTCAATAACATTGAACATCGATGGTACAATACATTATTCCCTGCCCAATACAACTAGGCCTACTCATTTATAGAGGCAGCAGCAGCAGCAGCATGAGCATCAACCAGTCATATGCCCACACAATCCAGCCTATACTAGCATCTTACTGTAGAGACCATCTATGACCTATCCAACCGTCAGTATACTGCTGTTGCTGGAATAGTTGGCCCTCAGTTGGAACTCAGGGTCCACTTGTGGTGGTGCACCATCTTTAAGGGAGAAAGCCCTAAGCCTAGCATGTTAGTTCAGTGACTCATGTCACATTGGCCTGTGGTTATCATCCTGCTGCTGCTGCTGCTGCTGCTGCTGCTGCTTCCATTGCCGCTGCTGCTGCTTCCATTGCCGCTGCTGGTACCTGCTGGTGACCCTCATTTTTGCAGTCGGTTGACCTAGTAGAAATATCCAAGCAGCTTATTTCCCCTTGTTGCTCTGCACCTGCTGCATGAGCCTTTCTCCCTGCAACAATGTTGCCCAATAGGGGCACACAATCGCCTTGTAGGGGGGGTTTCCTCTAACGCCATGCTGATAGCGTCCAATGGCCACCCGTGCTCGGCGAGGATTTAGTCGACTAAAAAGTCCTTTCAACAGCATGCTGGTAGCTTCCACTCGGCTGTGCACCTCAGCGGCATGCAGCCTTCAAACGGGTAATGAACTCTCGTTGCTTGGCCTCGCTGACGGGAGGAGTATCAACGAGAGGGCGAGGAGAAGCGGTGAGCAGGAGGGAGGTGGGGAGGGAGGAGGCAGGGAAGGTGAAGAGGAGTCGTTAGCAGGAGAACAGGGAGGGGTGGAAAGGGGACAAGGGGAGGAAGGAGGAGGTAGAGAGGAGGGGAGCAGTGAGAGTGGGTATATCCTAACAATACTTGCACATGGTGGTAACCTCAATCGTGTCATACCTGAACAGTATTTGCACATGGTGGTAACCATCAATCGTGTCATACCTGAACAGTATTTGTGCATGGTGGTAACCATCGTTGTACATCACGTCCACTGGTGTGTCGGCCAGGTAGCTGTGCAAAGAAGAGAGCAGGGAGAGGAAAAGAATGGAGGGGAGAGAGAGGGCAGTTGAGGCACGGTGGTAACCATGCTCAGACAGCACGATCTGGCCGTCCCCAGCCAGCATCACCAGTTACATCCCCAGCTTACAATGTGGTGTGCTCAAACAGCAAGATCCGGCCGTCCAAGCCACCACCACTGTCCCTCACTCACTCTTTCCTCTCGCCCTTAACCCTGCACCATGCACAACTCACTTCCTGATGTGCTGTGACGGCACAATCTGGTCCTCCCCTGCCAGCATCACCACCGAGCGATGCACAGGGATGTCATCCGCCCACACCTGGTACGCGTGCCTGGAGGGTGGTTGAACAAAGGAAAAAGGGGGGTTCAAGATCTCAAGAGGAGGACTGGGCATGGCTTTATAGGGATGTCATCCGCCCACACTTGGTACGCGTGCCTTGAGGGCAGGAGGGGGGAGGACAGGAAGAGAGACGGTTGGCAGTTGAGGCGACTGCACGGGGCTGTCGTCCAACCCATACTTGGTATGCAGGCAATCACAATCCAATGTAATGCACCCCACCCCCACCCCCACCCCCAGTTCGGTTGGAAGGCACCCACCCCAGTCGGCACCTACCAGTTGAAGCCGCGGCACAGAGCACGCGCCACCTGCAGCTCTCTCCCGCACAGAAACCACCTCACAGCCTCTGCTACTGTGTCGCCAATAGAGGGGGAGCCGGGGGACCTGCGGGGGGAAAGAGGGGGGGCGGGGGGCGATTGGGGGAGGGGGGGAAGTGGGGAACGGATATCAGCGAGTGAGAGGGGTTGACGCCACCTGCAGCTCTCTCCCGCTCAGGACCCACCTCACAGCCTCCGCCACTGTGTCGCCAATAGAGGGGGAGCCGCGGGACGTGCGGGGTATTAGGGGAGCCGGGGAAGGGGAGAACGGGTATCAATGAGTAGAGGGGTTGACGCCACCTGCAGCACTCTCGCGCACAGCTTCTGCTGCTGTCCCCGATAGAGGGGGAAATACAAAGCGGCTACCGCCATAAGAGCTCGGGTGCGCCTTGAAACAGCATAAGAGCTCATATGTGGAATCATGATATATATGCTACTTGAACGCGGTCAAAGGCACAAATAAAGGCAAAGAGCACTTTAGGGAGGCGCAGTAGGAAACATACAGGACGTGTATAGGCATACAGGACGTGTATAGGCATACAGGACGTGTATAGGCATACAGGACGTGTATAGGCATACAGGACGTGTATTCGAGTCAGGCCACGTACTTATAAATAAAGTTGAAGAGCACTTTAGGGAGGCACAGCAGGAAGCAGGCAGGGTCCACAAAGCCCATAGCGCTCACAGTCTCGGGGCGCTTGCGCACTTGCTGCAATGGGGGGGGGAGAAGAGGAGGGGAAGAGAGGAGGGGAAGAGAGGAGGGGAAGAGAGGAGGGGAAGAGAGGAGGGGATAAAGTTGAGGAGTGGTGAGAGGGGTGGTGAGAGGGGTGGTGAGAGGGGTGGTGAGAGGGGTGGTGAGAGGGGTGGTGAGAGGGGTGGTGAGAGGGGTGGTGAGAGGGGTGGTGAGAGGGGTGGTGAGAGGGGTGGTGAGAGGGGTGGTGAGAGGGGTGGTGAGAGGAGTGGTGAGAGGAGTGGTGAGAGGCTGGATAACAAGATAGCGGAGGGCACCGTACTGAGTGCCTGTCTGTCTGCATGTCGCCCATATGTCACAAGCACCACCATATACACCTACTTCCTATACAAACATATTATTATATATAATATGTACAACATATGTATGAATATGTGTGTGCGTGTGTGTGTATTGTCCCAGTTACATACCCGAGCGAGCACCAGGGCGCCGTACGAGTGCCCCACAAAGACTGCTGACTGCATGCCATGGACCGCCATGGCGTCAGTAATGCCGTCTGCCACGTCATCGATGGTGGGTGATGACGTGGACAGGCGCACTGCCAGGTGGGCCAGCTCCACCACTATGAGCTTCTGAGAGAGAAAGAAAAGAGATGGAAAATAGGGATAAGAAAGGGATTGGCAGGAGAAAGCGCAGGTGCAGTGAGGTATGAGCGGGCAGAGGGGAACAGAGAGGGAGACGAAGAGTGAGTGTGGGCTGCCTAGTCCAGTTGATTGCGTTTGATACAATAATTAGAAGGGCGACAGAGGAAATAACCAAGGCTTCAACGCGCTAGTTACCTTATTTGAGTAGCTTCTAGAGAGCATGTGGACGAACGAGAGGTACGGAGTGAGTCCGAGCCCCAGCCCATGCACCAGCACCACCCCCTCCTCCCCCTCCTCCTCCCTCCCCCTCAGAGCCTCTCTCTCGGCCAGCAGTGGTGCCGCTGCTGACGTGGCCTCTGCAAATGCTGACGTGTCGTCGAAAATTGGCACCACGGCTGCTGCCTTGTGGGCCTTACGCTGCGAGCAGGGGGAGGAGCGATTGAGGGGGAGGGAGAGGGGGGAAAAGGAATAGAGGGGTGAAGGGGCGAAAGGGTGAAGAGAATAAGCACAGGAAAGAACAGGGGGGACGAGGGGACGAGGGGACGAGGGGACGAGGGGACGAGGGGACGAGGGGACGAGGGGACGAGGGGACGAGGGGACAAGGGGACAAGGGGACAAGGGGACGAGGGGACAAGGGGACGAGGGGACGAGGGGACGAGGGGACGAGGGGACGAGGGGACGAGGGGACAAGGGGACAAGGGGACAAGGGGACGAGGGGACGAGGGGACGAGGGGACGAGGGGACGAGGGGACGAGGGGACGAGGGGACGAGGGGACGAGGGGACAAGGGGACAAGGGGACAAGGGGACGAGGGGACAAGGGGACGAGGGGACGAGGGGACGAGGGGACGAGGGGACGAGGGGACGAGGGGACAAGGGGACAAGGGGACGAGGGGACGAGGGGACGAGGGGACGAGGGGACGAGGGGACGAGGGGACGAGGGGACGAGGGGACGAGGGGACGAGGGGACGAGGGGACGAGGGGACGAGGGGACGAGGGGACGAGGGGACGAGGGGACAAGGGGACAAGGGGACAAGGGGACGATAAGGGGTGAGCAGGCAAGAGAAAGTGGAAGGCAAAGGCGAGGAAGGGCCGATGGGTGGATGTAGTGACCTCACTGCAAGGAGCATACCTTCGGTGCCGACTTCTTAGGAGCGCGGAACCAGTAGTGGATGCCAGTGGGTGTGGTGTGCCTGGCCAACGCAAGTCAACAGGGGCGAATCAAGGTCGGTCAACGCAGGTTGCAGATATATAGGAATGAGATAAACAAGGTCAGCGCCGACCACAAGAGCGGCCGGCATAAGTCACTATAGTGGTTAACGCAAGGCAACTGAGGTCAACTGAGGTCAAGTGAGGTCAACCGAGGTCAAGTGAGGTCAACCGAGGTCAAGTGAGGTCAAGCGAGGTCAAGTGAGGTCAAGCGAGGTCAAGTGAGGTCAAGCGAGGTCAAGTGAGGTCAAGCGAGGTCAAGTGAGGTCAACAGAGATCAACCGAGGTTTGCAGTGCCAGGAGCTTACTTCGAGAAGCCGAGGAGGCGCATGGCCGCTGCAGTGAGGAGCCCCACGATGTGACCCCTGCAGGCATTGGGGGAAGCAAGTGAGGACAGACATTAGCGGAGGAACGGGGGAAGGGAGGAGTAAAAACAAACAGTTATGCCCCCCCCCCGTGAATCTCCCATCGCCCACCCCATCCCGCCCCTTCTCGTTACTCACCACACGTAGAATGCGAGCGGGTGAATGATGGCTCTGATTGGTTCTCTCGTGTGCGCCATAAAGCGCACCGACTCATCCACCCCCTTCCCCGCATCCTCCCCCTTCCGCGCGTCTCCGCTTCCGCTCCCCGCCTCCTTTCCCCCTCCGCACTCCGCACCGCCCCCACCCCTCCGTGGAAGCTGCGCGTCGCTCCAGCTCCGCCCGAGGCTCCTCGACGACGCCGCGGTCGCCGCCGCCTCCAGCGGGCCGCAACCCGCGGAGGCGGAGGCGGAGCGGACTGCAGGAACGACAGTGGCGGCGGCAGAAGGGTCGGCGGAGACCGCGGAGCGCGGAGCGGCGGCAGTTCCTTCCGCCCCCCTCTCATTCTCCCCCGCTTCGCTCTCGCTTTCGCTCTCACTCTCCCCCCTCTCGTACTCCCCCCCCTCACTCTCCCCCTCGCTATCGGAACCGAAGGATACAAGGTCGGGCGGAGGCGGAGGCGGCGCGTCGGGGTCTTTAAAGTGCATCCCTAGGTGCGACTCGGCTCTGTCGACATGCTCTGGAGAGAAGGGGGGGGAGGTTAACAGGTTGACTTGAGTTGACTTGAGTTGATTTTTTTGTGTGGAGCCACGTCGGAGAGAAAGAGCGGAGCGGAGGAGGAGCAAACATATGAGCAAGAAGACTGGAGGGAGTGGGAGGTGGGAGGGGGAAGGAGTTGGGAAAGCGGGCGTTTGTACGCGCTAAAGAAAGCCCTCCTACCTTCGACTGCTTCTTGGTATTCGCTCGAGAGCTCGTTATAAAAGCGGTGGAAGAAGCCGTGAGAGATGAACTGGCGGATGTTTGTACGCGTTAGAGACGCGAGGGACGCACCCATGAACCACCCTCCCACGAAATCGTTATAGTCCGCTTGCTTGCTGATCAAACGAAGAGACGGGGGATCACGGGAGGGACGAAAGGGGAGTTGGGAACGAACCAGAAGAACAAAGCGGGCGGTATAGCAGCTGACAGAGACTAAAGACGAAAGACTAAGGACTAAGGACTAAGGCCTAAGGCTGAGCACAATGGCATTCGAATCTCCCAAGGCACGATGACTTTCGCGAGATTCGAACACCATGTCGTGACAGGGGTTCGGCTGTCACTAAGAACTCAGGACTTTCGCGACAGCCAGGCCCCGGTCAAAACGCGAGGAGGTGGTCCCCTGCGAGTGTACAAGTCAATTTCATCGTCGGGAGTAGCAGACGCCAGGGTTGACTTACGCGACGGCTGACTCAAAAGAACCAGTGCAGACGCAACGCCAGTAATGGGGTGACTCACGCGACGGCGTTGACTTACGCGACGGCGAGAACGCGGTCGAGAAGACTCGAGATCTCTTCGCGCGACGGGAGCGGGAGCTCCACGTACTCGTCACTGATCCTCTGTAGTTGCTTATAACGAAACACGTAAAACACCGCTTCTATGACGAGCCACACGGCGAGCAGTGCGAGCACGGCGTAAGAGGGCAGCAGCAGCGCGCCGATGAGGCACGATGTTCCTGGCACCGACGTGAACACGAGCAGCGCGATGGCCCTGATTGGGTGGAGAAGAAGGGGGGGGAAGGGGCGAGGGTGAGAAGGGTAATGGGCAGGTATAAGCGCACGGAAGAGCTGCGAGCCGATGAGGCAAGTCGTTCCCGGCACCGATGTGAACACCAGCAGCGCATTGGCCCTGCAGGATGGTGAAGGAGAGAGGAATGAGGGGCATGAAGAATAAGCTGACGGCAGCAGCAGCGCGCCGATGAGGCACGTCGTTCCGGGCACTGATGCGAACACGAGCAGCGCTATGGCCCTGCGGGGGGAAGGAAGGGGGGGGGGGGGGGGGGGGGGGGGGGTTGGGGACTTTATGAGGGGAGAGAGCGTAGGGAGGCGACATCAGCATCGCCCCGACTAAGCGGGTCAATCCCGGCTTCGACGTGCACACCAGCAGCGCTACAGCCCTGTAGAACAATACGGGGGGAGGGGCAAATGGGAAGGGAAGGGGGGGGGAAGGGGGAGAAGTGGGGAGAAGGGGAGAGAGCGTAAGGAGGCGACAGCCAGCAGAGCGCCAACTAAGCGGGTCGTTTTCCGGCTCTGACGTGAGCCCCGGGAAACGCGACGACCTTGCAGAACAATACCGGGGGAGAAGGGGAGGAGGGCATGGGGAGAAACGGGGGGCACGAAACGAGGGTTACCGCATCACGCGATTCAACCTACACCCCGAAGGCCGGTCACCACCCAAACGCATGACCACCACCCTGAAGCTTACCACACCACGGAGGGAAGCTCACCACCGACTCATAAGATAAAGGCTTAATTTTAGAACTTACCACATCACGGAGTATAGCTTGTCCACTGCCGTTTGCTGTAATTGTTGCCAGCGCGCCTTGCGAAACGACTTGGTGGTCTCGCACGACTCCGAGTCGTGCAGCTTCGTGCGCTTTCCCATAGCCGCCCTGCTAGGTATGTCTATTCGCTGGGACTGCGACGCGTATCTCGACTCTGATTGGCTCTGCGGCTGCGCGTGGGGCAGCGGGAGCGGTCGCGGCCGTAGATGCTGCATGTCGGCTTCGTCGGCTCCCCGCGCTTGGCGGGACAGAAACGGCTCCTCCGTGCTTCTAGAAACGCGCGAGGGGTGGGCCCTCGCTCTCTATCGCTCTATGTCGCTCCCGAAATACTAGAATGCCTGTAATTACTTATTCTACGCTGAAGAAGAAGCTGCCTTATGCGAACTACTAGAACGATAGCCAGCGAAAACCAGTGGTTTGGAATGACAGAGCCAGCGTGTGGTACGGCGCAAAGAATTAGGTACTCGATAAACGTGATGGAGATACGCGATGAACTAGTTGTCTCGGGCTCTTCTAGAGCATGTGTCTGTCTCTCGAAGCATAGCAGGAAAAGTCTCTCTCATCAAGCATGTTGTCGAGCGAAATTCCTCTTGGGTCAACTGTGGGATGCCTGTAGCCTAGCCGATCGTACCGTATTTCTCGTGGTTCTCGTCATGTTTTTGTTTGCGTTGCAGTCACTTGAATGGCTGGCTGGACAGCGGAGGGGCAAGAAAGAACGTCTCAGGCTCTAATTTCGTGCTGCTGATGAGGGGTGCGATGCGAGCCGCGCTGTGGGGAGGAGAATTCAGGATTGAAAGAAATGTTGGCCGCAGCGCAAACTGCACTTTGCCCCCTCATTGTCACGAAACCATCACGTTTCTCCGCTGGCCTGCGACCTTGTCGCAACCTCAGACAATCCGTTTTCGCCACGTGTCCCAGCTCGCTCCGGCCCCCAACCACGCCAGCAGTGACGAAACGCTGAAAGTTCGCGAAACCAACGAAAGGAGCCAAACTTGGATGCACGACGGCGCTTTGGTGGTTCTCAGGACGAGACGCAACCGACTTCGTCTAATTCTGTCGTTTGTGTAGCCCAAAATGGTCGGCGTTTGGGAGGCTGCCCGGGAATGATTTACGTGCCGGGAAACTGAACTGGGCAAGTGCGCCGGCGGCATGTGGAGTTATGGCTGTGCTAGTGGTGCCCCTTTGAGCACTCTTTACTGCCCGTTTCGTGGTTAGGCGGCATGCTTGTGTCAGGAGGAACCAGGAGATAACGTTTGTTCTTGAACAGTCGTGTGGACTAGCTTCGAGCGGAACTTCTCGCATTTTGTCGCCATCTGAATACGATACACCTAGCCCGCGGTAAGTTTACACCCTGAAATTGGGCAGCATACGAATATTGTTTCCGCCCTGACCATTTCTGAGTGCGTATACAGTATCCCTTGTTCCTACGGCCTAAGCGCGGCAGACTCCACGCGGACAAAAACTTCGAGCACTGCCAAAGCTGACGTCGGGTTTCCTGACTCGAGAAACACTAAATCGAGAGGTAAACGTTTCGCAATAGAATTCCAAACTAAAATTGTTTTTCAAGAGTATACGGATCTGGTCTTCAGGAGCTGCTTTCGGGGGGTGAATACCCTTGTGGCAGGACCCCCTGTGAAAATAATGGGTGAAAAAATACCGCAAGATAGGTGTAACTTCTTAACAGTACGGTTCGCTACGATTTTGTAGTTTTAAATACGATGCCGCCTGTTCCATTGGGGCAGTTTTCAAAGAGCCCACACTAAAAACTTCAAGAGCAATTTGCAGGCTAAAGGACAAGCTACAGACTGATGAGAAAACCGCAGGACAGGTGAATGAATACAGTATACTGAAAGGCTAGAAACTCTTAGCACCCCTAACTTCAAGTGAGAAATTAATGCCTTGTGGGCGTACCCGGCCAAGTGTAAGCCACAATGGAATAAGAGATGCATATGAGATTTTTTTCCTATGGTCGATTTGGTCACTTGAACTTCATATTGTCTTAAGGCCATTACAACAGTACAAGGGAATAAGAATAGGGATATCCCACTCAACCTCTTGTTTATTGGGTGCTCTAAACTACACAGACTTAATCGCAACGCATGCGTCACAAATTATTGCGGCGCTTATGTTGTAGTAGTGTATAAATCTGGATGCCACAGGCATCCGTTCACCCTCCCCTATACATGTATTGTAAAGGCTTGCTCCTCCTGTCAGTTTCTCATGGATCAGGCAGCCTCACATCAGGCAGCATCCCAGATCCACAGAAGCATCCCCATAATATTTCCTTCTTTACTCCCTCTTTCTCTCACTCCTTCACCCCTTCCCTTCTCTTCCCCCCCCCCCCCCCCTTCTCTCCATCAATCATTGAGCCCTTGTCTACCGAATCGTCCCAATCATGTAAGAATTAACGATGTCCACCCACGAGTCTGGGACTCCCGGCACGCAGAAGTGGGAGCAGTCGGGGCGGTCTGTGCCTGTCGCCATCTGCTGGTGCGCGTCCGGGCGGGAAAGGGTGGACCGAGCCACGTCCACGATCTTGAACTGGGGAGCCCGTCTTAGGATCTGTGTATTTGGGAAGTGAAGGATTGGGAGAACGGTGAGTAGGTTGAGGGAAGGATCATTCATGCTAGGGTGGACTGAGCCACATGCAGTTTTGATTCTAGGACCCAACGTTTGAAGACTTGGTGCTCAGGCTTGGGGGAGAGGAGCACACAGGCAAGGGTGAGCGACTCGCCCCCCTCAACCCATAACTCACTGCCATTTGGGCGTCTTGTGACGTGACAATATCAGTCATGGCCTCGGCGTATTGCAGCTGCTTGGGCTTGAACGGGTCGGTGAACCCCACGCAGCTCACTGTCTTTGCAGCTCTCTCTCTCTCCCACACACACACACACACACACACACTCTCATTCCCCATTCCCCATTCCCCTGTTGACCCACCCACAAACTCCAATCCCTCGACTCACCGCCATCTGGGCATCTCTTGACGTCATGATGTCGGTCATGGCTTCCGCATATTGCAGCTGCTTGGGCTTGAACGGGTCTGTGAACCCCACGCAGCTCTCGGTCTTGGCGGCGAACGAGTTGTAGTAGTGGAACGCCGTGAACGTGATGAAGAACGGCACGCCGCGGTAACCGGATGCTTTCACGTGACGCGTGAGCGTCGCCAGCGACTCTTGCATGGTTAGGAGGGCGGACTGGGGCTTTATCCGCTGCCCATTGCGGCGGTATATCCGGAGGTTGTCAGACGCCTGGCGAAGGAAGGGGGATGGGGACGGGGATGGGGGATGGGCGTGAGGGATGGGGATGGGGATGGGGATGGGGATGGGGATGGGGATGGTGATGGGGATGCGGATGGGGATGGGGATGGGGGTGGGGATGGGGATGGGGGTGGGGATGGGAATGAGAAACTCTTCCAAGGTTACAAGGGCGGATTGTGGATTGATTAACCGCTTGTTGTGGGCTGTATCTTAGGGAGAGAGGGAAGTTTGTGAAATAACAAGGGGGGGTGTCAGGTTTAGGGTGGAGGAGCACGTGTGTGGCAGTGGACTGGTGTTCACCTGCCGGAACCACTCTCCACCGCTCTCTTTCCTCTTGCCTCACCTGGCTGAACCAGTGGCTTGAGCTGAAGAGCACAAAGGGGGAGCGGCAGCTGGGACCAGTTGTGACCTGTTCTGGTCCCACTATCATCACTGCCATAACCGCTCTGAACCGCTCTGAACCTCTTCGAACCTCTCTTGCCTCACCTGGCTGAACCAGTGGCCAGAGCTGAAGAGCACGTAGTGGGTGAATGGCAGCAGCTTGGCCCAGCTGTCATCCACTTTGTCCAAATCTACCTGCCACACCCCCGCGCTCGATACCTCGCCCTGCGATAGTGGAGACCAAATTATAACGCGGACATGATAGAGGAAAGGACACATACGTAAGTGAGGTAAGGGTACACTCAAAAGGGCCACGCTAGAGTCAACTTCACATTGAATGGAAAACGCATTGCAGGTGAAAGTGACAACAAGGCTTACGATTGGTTGGGACGCGACGAGGAAGTTGGACGGCACGCGAACTACAGTGAAATTGAACTCCTTGGCGAAGTAACCCGACGCCTTCACTCCAGTGTTACCCCACACCTTGTTCGTGAAATCCTGCCCAATCAGAAACACGGATGAGGAAGAATGCGTGGGAACCTAGAACCACCCCGATATTGTGCAGCACAGCTCTACTGTTGGAGTGAGGAGAGGAAAGAGGCGAGAGGGTGGGGTGGAGGGAGGGGGGAGGGAGTGGTATCCTGGGGATTCGACGACTCGCGTGGCTTGAAACCTAGGGTACAAAGCACCAAGCCAGCCGAAGCCCCATAGCGCAATGCTAGCACTTTCGTAACGCTAGTCTCTCCTATTGCCCACTACTCCCAGGTGGCACGCGTCTACGCCCAAGCAGAAAAGGCACATCCACGCTATTATCCTATCTAGTCGCTCCCTTATTAGTATCCCTTCTACCTGTAATGCGACATTGCCTTCCTATCCTAATACGCGCCGAAGTCAATATTCCTCCTGGCTTCTACTGCCCGAACCGTCAGCGCCACCACCTCCTCTTCCCTCGTTTGATTCCCCCTTGCTTCTACTACCCGTACCGTCAGCGCCCCCACCTAGCCCCCCCCCCTCTTCCACTTCTTCCCCTCACCCGCCATCCGCCTCCTCCCCCGCAACCCTTCCCTCTCTTGTCGTCTACCGCAAATCCCGGCATTCCGCGCACAAAATCGTGTTTTAGAGAATTCTAAAAAAGTCCACGCACCTCGGTTCAGGTGTAGGAGCCAACGAGGCAGACATAATTATTTTAACGATGAAACAAAAATACATTCCGCGCACCTTGGTTTTGGTGTAGGAGCCAATGAGGCAGCGGAACGAGGCGTCGAAGTTAGTCGCGAAGGAGTCGCCCGTGTTCAGAAACACCTTGTTGCGAAACCGTTGCATGAACGACGTCGCATTGAACCTGTTCGATTGAAAGCGACACGCACGTGATCAGTAAATTCGACGTCGCAGTGAACGTGTGCGCATGAAAGCGACGCGGAAACTCGAAGAAGACCCTTCACTTCGAAATTATCAAATCGCGAAATGTCAGCGTTGACTGACCTCTGGATGTTACAACCGGGACTTCGCCACACGTAGTTGAGGTATCTGCGATCTTTTCGCCCATTCGCGAGGCAGTTGAAGTACGATCGCAGGCTCTTGCAGCTCACGGGGCCGTACGCCGGCTTGTACTTGGGGTCATACTCCCACCTGCAGCAAGCGAACACGCAAGTCACGCAAAGCGGGGAATAGAGGCGTCAGCTGAAGTGAAACCGCAGGCTTGTACTTGGGGTCATATTCCCACATGCAGCAACGGAACGGGGAAGGGACGCAAAATGCGCTTTGAGAAAACGAGACGCGAAGGTCGGCGTTCCGATTGCTTTGGCGTTGATAGGAAGCCTGGGCGCGAAACACGCGCATACAACCCCCAAAAAACGTACGCTCTCGCATTTAGGTAGTACTCGGAATGCTGAGGGGAGCGGCAGAGCTACGTAGAGCTACACGGCGTGCTAAACGAGAAAATTCTACCACGGATTGAAAAACAGGGCTCCTAAACTTCCAGCGACTTACCGTCCTTTATTGAGATCGCATCTAGTCGTTGCTGCTGCTGCTGCTTGTACAACTGCTGCGCGCGGTGCTGCGCGCGGTGCTGCCCGTGGCGCTCCCCGCGGTGCTGCTCGCGGCGCTGCCCTCGCGGCTGACCTTGACCCCTCCCGCGAGCTTTCTCGCGGATTTACCCGTCCTGCTGCCCGTGAAGCTGCCCGTGCGGCTGCCCGTTCGGCAGGCGTGACTGCGAGGGCCAGAAAAGGTAGCAGCGAGACTACGAGTAACAGCGACAGTAGAAATGGCGTGAGACGCGCCGCCATTCTAAGGTCGCTCGCGCTACCGCCGTCGCTTCAGTCGTTTTTAGCAGAGAAGCGGCTAACTGCCGTCGTTCTCGTTCTCAAATCGCTGGGCTCTTGCGTTAACCCGCGGATTGCTATGTCTAGTACCTCGCGCTATCGTAGAGCAACTGAGAATTTCGTGGGGAAAAGAGGAGATGCGTAGGTTACACTCGAGGGGCTTGGCGCGCGTAGCATGGCTACACGCGGTTTGCACGAGCCATGGAGCTATACGCGAAGAAAGCTATGAGAGGGCGCGTACGGAACCGATGTGTAGGTTAGGAGTTGGACAGGAGGAGGTTGGTACGGAACGATGGAGTGCGGCGAATGAACAAGGAGTGCTACTAATATTGGTGAAACGCAAAAGCTCGAAAGAAAAGCTTCGCTTCACTGCTGTTGAAGCAGGAGATGTGGATGCGTATACTGGCAGGAGCTCAAGGAGTGCCGACCAAAGGCAAACAGAACCGGCGACTTGATAAGAGCTCTCGCTAGAATAGAATCTACAGACGAGCAGCTGCACGCAACGAAGTTCGTCACGCTGAATTTACTCTGTCGCTTCTCAGCTCGTGGATTGGTGGTCGAGAATCCGTGCATGTTGATCTGACACTCTTCTGGCCTTGATTCGTCTGAGGGAATCCGTGGGTCATGTGAAGGGCAACATGGCATGGCGGTGGGCAGGTAGGAGCAACCTCAACTCTCGAAGGTTGAGAGCAGCGGAGATGGAGGCAAGAAACAAGCTTGTTTTGCCCTTGACAGGGGACCCAAACTCAAGCATGGGCTTAGGTTGGACATTGTCGATTCGAGTCGCAAGGGAAGGTTGTGGAGGGATGAAATGGACGGTCAGATGTCTTGTGGTGGAGTGCCACGTCACCCGAATTTGTGGGTGTGAGCGAGCCGCGATCGGCACCGAATTGTGTGTGCAGATGCGTCTCGACTCTCCTGATTTTATCATGCTGATGGCGCTGCGCCCAGCCCAGGGTGGTCAACAACAGAAAATCAAACGTGCTGCACGATTGAAGGAAATAGCTGTTTGAACTCGAATCTCCGCATGATCATAAATTCTGTAGAGTTCGGTGGTTTGTAAGCCGAACCTTATAAGGGGTTCAAATGTAAACCGAACGCACAACGATTGGGCCAGCGCGGGAAGTAGCCCCCGTACAATCTATACTCCCCAAGTTGGTGATTCGAGGTTCTGAGCAATGAGTCACGAAAACCGGTTACCAGCGATTCGCACCGTACTTCACCGCAAACCGTTTGTGTTGACATACTCTTAGGACACGCCCTGATTTTTTCAGGAAGTTCCACCAGCCACACGAAACCGCCCTCCCTTGTGAGGGCTCTCCTGATACATGTCCTTCACATTGGTGGTGCCGAGTCGCAATGTACGCAACCTCAATGTGTCGATAAATTGCACATTGACTACAGCACCCACCGACCGATCAGACCAGGCATGACCCATCATGGTTGTTGCCCGTAATCAAGTCGCTGACACTCGAGTAACAACCAGCCAATCTTGCCTTCCCGAGTGACACATAGTCGTCAGGACTTGCTGAATAACACCGCGCGCCTTTTGGATGCCACATTTCTGGAATCGCCCATGGAACCTCCCCCTCGACACATCCCCAAGGTCGCAGCAGACCTGTAGCCTCCCCGCGCGTGCTAGCTGCACAGCGTAAGTAACGAACAGGATAAGTTCGAAGCGCTGACGACGCAAATCGGAGCCGTTTCAGTTCGTCATTTTCAGGAAAAAAAACATTTTGGTCCTAGTATGATTTTCAGGATGCAGCGTACCCTCCCGCTCGCGGTTTCACTACTATCACTGATAGTGGCACTATGCGTAGTGTCACAAGCACTAGCGAAAGCGCCTCAAGAAAACAGGAGCTTCTCGGTTGTAGACGGAAAGGCGGTAGAAGCGCACGGCTGGCGAGAGAATCCCTCTAGCAGGCGACGATTGGCATCATCGCCGGCGTGTAAGGCGTCGTCGCTTGCGGGCTTCACATCTTCAATCGACCTGTCGGGTAAAGGGTGCGTCGTCTGGGCGATAATCTTGAGAATTCTAAGAAATGTTGCCAGACTAACCGAATAACACCGCGCGCATTTTGGACGCCACACTTCTGGAAGCTCGTATGGATTCTCCCCCCTCGACCCATCCCCAAGGTGCGCGAAGTTTGGCCATGGCGGTTGAAGCGAGGGTTGGCAGCGGCGCCAACTGGGGCTGGTTCGCTATAGCGTGGAGCAAGGCGGGGTACATGTTTCCCTCCCTCCCCCCCCCCCCTTCCTGTAATCCACTTCCATCCCACAGGCTCGCCCTTCACTGGAAGTTAAACGGCCCGCAAAGCCTGGCCATGGCGGTTGAGGCGAGGGCTTGGAGCGGCGCGAACAGGGGCTGGTTCGCTATAGCGTGGAGCAAAACGGCTGCTATATGTCCCCCATCGTCCCGCACTTCTTGTAATCTACTCCCTTTACCCAGGCTCGTCCTTCACTGGAAGTTAAACGGCCCGCAAAGCCTAGCCATGGCTGTTGAAGCGAGGGCGGGGAGCGGCGTCCCAACTAACAGGGGCTGGCTCGCTATAGCGTGGAGCAAGACGGGGTACATGTTTCCCGCAGATGCCGTAGTGGGTGTTGCGGGGAGCAGCAAACCCGCGGCTTACGCGATAGAGGGCTACAGTGGAACGACCGTGGGGCCCACCTCGCGATTCAGCCTCGGGAATACCGCGCTCGCGTCGGGGACAAGCGGCATCGTTATGAGGTACGGGGAGCATCACAATCATCACAGTACGTGACTGTAAAGGAAGGAACCTAGACGGGAGAAGGAGCACGTCGATATTCAGCCTTGGGATTGCCGCGCTCACGTCCGGAGCAAGCAGCGTCGTTATGGGGTAAGGGAGCAATGCAACTTTTCTGTGCTAACAACCTCGTTATAAAACTTCCGGCAGGGAGAACTACATGTCATTTACAGCGCAAATGGTTCCGAACAACTTGTTCACCCGATACTCATCCTCTCGGGGATGTCCTCTTTCTCTATTGACACGGTTGCAGGTTCACTCGCAATGGCACGGACGGGGCGGTTCCAGTGAAGTACAGCGGAACCAATCCGATCATCTGGGCCCTTCTGAGTCGACTCAAAAGCCACCCTTGGTCTTTTCCTTTTCTCCTCGACCTCTGGTTGCAGGTTCGCTCGCAATGGCACGGACGGGGCGGTTCCAGTGAAGTACAGCGGGGCGAATCAGATCATCTGGGCGTTTGGCTCGAGCAGCAGACCCACGGACCATGGCATGAACAGGTGCGACGCACGTGGCTACTCTCTAGTTCGCTCTATAAGCATTCCCGTTATATGCGCCTTGTTCCAGTGAAGTACAGCAGGCGCAATCATATCATCTGGGCGTTTGGCTCGAGCAGCAGACCCACGGACCATGGCATGAACAGGTGCGGCGCACACTGCAACTGTAGGCTTCTTTCTAACCGTCCCCTTTATAAGCATCCTGCGTACAGGAGCAGCAGACCCACGGACCATGACATGAACAGGTGTGTGGCTGCCCTGATTCGCTTTTACGCACTTTCTTTACAAGCAGCCTCTTTACAGTGGCACCTTCACACTTTGTCAATGTTGTTCCCTGAACTGTAACTGTCAGGCAGCTGCAAATCAGGGCTGGCTGGCACTGATGCCAGTTATTTTGGAATTCGCCATACATTTATTTTGTTCCCGTTTTGCGCCCTTGTCTTGTGCTCCCACCTCGTATTCCCAATCTCTGCCACTGCGGCTGCAGGGGCGGCAAAGCGGTGGACTTTTCCTGTCTCCCTGCGCCGTCCAGTTCCCCACCCCCTCCCCCCAAACTATCCCCTCCCCCTCCCCCCAAACCATCCCCACCACCATCCGCTCCCCCGTGCAAGCCATCTGCCTGCAAGCGCTCCTCTCTCCCTGGCTATACCGGTTCAGTTGACCTCACAGGGAAAGGGTGAGTTGGGCACAGAGAGTGTGTGACATGCAGGAGGTGAGACGTGCGTTGAGGTCCTTCAAGCTGATCCTTGGTAGGCACCGGCCTGCAAGCCATTCTCTCTAACTGGCTACACTACCTCAATTGACCTCTGTTGATGTCAGTAGACCTCAGACCTAAATTGACCTCAGTTGACCTCCGTTGACCTCTGTTGATCTCTGTTGATCTCTGTTGACCTCTGTTGACCTCAGTTGACCTCAGTTGACCTCTGTGACCTCTGTTGACATCAGTTGATCTCTGTTGGCCTCAGTTGACCTTATTTGACCTCTGTTGACCTCTGTCGGCCTCACGGGCAATGGGGGGAGCGGGTTGCGCTGGATATGTGCCTAGGAGACAGTGGAATGGTTATCGCACCAGAAACGGGCAGATCACTTCTTCCCCACTCCTCACTCCATCACAGCCACTACACCCCCACCTTAGGCGCCTCAAAAATAGACTCATAACAGCCACTACAACCCCCTCCTTACTGCTTTAAATCCCATCACCCCCATGCTCTCCCACTCCCCCTCCGTCACTCTCTCCGTCTACCTCTCTTTTCCAATGCCTAGCATCCCCCCGCCCTTCCCCCCCCCCTCTTATTTCCGCCCATCCCTCTTCTCCCCCTCTCCCCCTCTCCCCCTCTTCCATCCAGTTTTGTGCTTCACTGGAAGCGCCAGGGGCGGCAGAGTTTGTCTGTAGCAGTGGAGGCAAAGGCCAGCAGTGGGGCCCACAAGGGCTGGTTCGCCCTGGGTTGGTCCAAAACGGGCTCCATGTTCCCTGCTGATGTGGCGGTGGGGAATCTCGCCACGTCAGCATCACCACCGGCCAAGTCAGCAGCAGCCGTGGCAGCGTATGGAATCAGCGGATATGCAGCAAGTGCTGTTAAGCCATCAAGCAAGTTTGTGATTGGCCCGATTGGATTCAGCTCAACAGCAAAAGGAGCCATCATGAGGTGAGGTACCTCATCCCTTCTAGACCATCTGGCTATGCAGCAAGTGCTGTGAAACCATTCAGCAAGTTTGCAATTGGCCTGACTGGATTCAGCTCAACAGCAAAAGGAGCCATCATGAGGTGAGGTAACCTCATCCCTTCTAGAGCCTCTGGCCATGCAGCAAGCACTTCAAAACCATCAAGCGAGCGAATTTGCACTCAGGCAGGGTTGGACTCCCCTCAACAGCAAAACGAGCTGTCATGGGATAAGGGTTCCAGCCCCAAATTTCTCTGGGGCAGGCAGTGTATAGAGTTTGCAGCCATGCAGCAATGTCCGGATCATGTGTGAGCACCTCTACTGCTGCGGTGCGAGCATCTCTAGTGCTGCAATGCGAGCACCTCGTTCTGTTTCCGCTTGGTCTTCCTTCCTTCCTCGCAGCAAGGCAGACCCAGTGGTTGTGCTCACCTCCTCCTGTGGAGTTCATCTGCTGCCACATTCTCTTGTCCCAAACACCACAGATTCTCTCGCAACAAGACGGACGGCTCTGTCCCAGTCAAGTACAATGGAGTGAACAGAATCATATGGGCGTTTTCCCCTGACGGCTCCAAGACAGTTGGCTACCACAAGAACAACTGGTGGGTGCCACACACATGCACGCATGCACACACACAAGCACACGCCAAATTAGGAGTGTACTGTATCATCTGGGCGTTTTCCCCTGACGGCTCCAGGGCAGCTGGCTATCACAAAAACAACTGGTAGATGCCCCCCCCCTCCTCTTCCCGCTTCCCCCCTCTCTCTCCCACTCTTACAACTTCTTCACTATCACCTCTCATTCCGACACCATGTGCACAGTACATCATTTGGCTAACTTGATTGTGCTGGTTTTGGTGTGACACGTGTTTGTCCTGGGCGACTTGCAGGGGAACGAAAGCAGTTGATTTTGGATGTGTTCCATGTTCCAATGCTATAAAGTAACCCTGCAGTTTGTTGTGAATGTGAGTTGAAAAGACGTCCCCTTGCTGATTGTAAATCCCAACGACCATCTCCAGAGGGCAATGGATAGCCTGCCAAGAAAGCAAGCTAGTAAAAACACGCTGGGTGACTCTCTTGGGGCTACTTGTGCTCTAGATGGCAAGAAGAAAAGCCCGTGGCAGCCTGTGGCCACACCCATCGCCCACACAGGCAACATCAGCAACGTATGCCACTAGCGGCCACATGGTCGCTAAGTCCGACAAGGTTCAACAACTCAGCCTCCCGATCAAACCAGCACCTTGCCGCCCTCCAACACCCAACCTACGCAATCAGAGGAGTTTCCAGTGTCGGCTCGGCTCTTCATTGGGGCTATCCGGTACAGGGTCACTGACAACACCCTTGGCCTACAACAAGTGTGCTTGCGGCGTGTCAGCCTTGCAGTGCCCATGCTCTGCAGTCACCGCAGCAGTGGTGGGGCCGTACAGTGTGTCAGTGGTTGTGCAGGAAGCCCCATTGCGCCCTCGCGCCCCGGTGGACAGCTCCGTCAAAGCCACCTTCCACTCCCGCCAGCATTTCCACTTGCCCTTCTGGCTCAGCTGGCGGAGCTCGCTCTCACTGCACCCTTCCAGCAGCGCCTTGTCCGCATCTGAGAGCTGCGCCGCAGACTGTATCGTGGCAAGTGGACGAAGCACATACGCGCCCGCTGCATACGCAAGCGTTGCTTCAAGCAGATTATTGTAGGAACCCAGCCGTACCTGTGCCTTGGCTCCGGGCCCATACACCACCCTGACGTAGCACCTGCCTCGGGATTGGAGATACTACATGACGCCAGTCCAACCTGACCTGGACAGCCGCCCTGGGTGGGCATGGCATGGTTTATCACTGGATGATGTCTCCGTGCCGGCATCACTTTCCTTGGCTGGTGCAACCAAAGAATGCGCTGGCTGTGAGGGGGGGGAGCAGGTTGGATGGAGCCACAGCTCCTGCATGTGCAACACCCTTGCCATCCGCGATTTCATTAGTCGGGTGTTGCTTTCTTTGGCTCGGGATTGGTGTTGCTTGCTGCTGGACCCGAGCGTACGTCGAAGTATGGCCCATGGGTTGGCGGGGAGTGCCGGGCGGAGGGTGTCAACTTATGCATATTAGCTATGTAGAAGTTATAGGCTAGATTGAGGTATGCTTCTAGTGAGTACAACCAACTAGTATTTGTTCTAGGTTTCACCTTCTAGTTCATTCATTCAGTTCTTACTTTAACATGGTATCACGCGTAGGTTAGAATCCCCCACCTACCGCTTCCGCCCGTACCCTAGCTAGGCCCCGTTGCGCCCCCCCCCTTGGGCCCCGTCGCGCCTCCTAGCCCTGTCGCGCCCCTCCTGGACCCCGTCGCGCCTCCTAGCCCTGTTGCGCCCGCTAGGCCGCGTCGCGCCCCCCCTGGGCCCCGTTGTGCCTCCTAGCCCCGTCGCGCCCCTCCTGGGCCCCGTCGCGCCTCCTAGCGCCCCTCCTGGGCCCCGTCGCGCCTCCTAGCCCCGTCACGCCTCCTAGCCCCATCGCGCCCCTCCTGGGCCCCGTCGTGCCTCCTAGCCCCGAAGCGCTCCTCCTGGGCCCCGTCACGCCTCCTAGCGCCCCTCATGGGCCCCGTCGTGCCTCCTAAGCCCCGTCGCGCCCGCTACGGCCCCGTCGCGCCCTACCTCGCCCCGTCGCGTCCGCTAGGCCCCGTCGCGCCCTGCCTGGCCCCGTTGCGCCCGCCTGGCCCCGTCGCGGCCCGCCTGGCCCCGTCGCGCCTGCCTGGCCCTGCCGCGCCTGCCTGGCCCCGCCGCGCCTGCCTGGCCCTGCCGCACCTGCGTGGCCCAGCCGCGCCTGCCTGGCCCCGCCGTGCCTGCCTGGCCTCGCCGCGCCTCCTTGGCCCCGCTGCGCCTGCCTGGCCCCGCCGCGCCTCCCTGGCCCCGCCGCGCCTGCCTCGCCCCGCCGCGCCTGCCTGGCCCCACCGCGCCTTGCCTGACCCCTCCGTGCCTGCCTGGCCCCGCCGCGTCTGCCTGGCCTCTCCCACTGCCCCCCCGGCCACTCTTCGTGCCTGCTCGGCCTGCCGTGCCACCTCGGGCTCCGTCTACCCTGCTCGCCAGTGCTGGGGTGCCTCGTGGCTGCCATGCTGGAGAGTGCTGCCGCCGTGTCCGTGCGTCGTTGTGTTCCTGCGGAGCTGTGGAGCTCTGCCGCTGACCCTGCATGATGGCTGACTTCGTGCTCCGACTGGACGCCGAGGGCCATGCGGTTGACTTCACTGCCTGGCTCTCCAATCTCCGCCGCCACCTTACAGGTCAGCGCCAGGATGGCCACCCTTTGGTTGTCCATGTCGATGGCTTGCTCCCCCGCCCCCCCGCACCTGCTCCCCTCCCTGCTGACCCCTCCTCTGATGACCGTGAGACCTTCTCTACTGCTGCGCTTGCCTGTGCGGTCTGGGACTCCCGCGATGAAGTCGCTCAGGTTGCTATTAGCCACGCCCTCCCTGTGTCTCAGCGCTCGCGTTTTGCTACTGTTGAGATGGCCAAAGCTTACTTAGACGCCGTTATTGCTCGCTATTCCACACCCGCGTCTGCTTCTCCTGGCCGCTTGCTCTTCCCGATGCTGTTCCCAGACCTTGCAGCCTTCCCTACCGTCGCAGACTTTGCCACTCACCTGCGTGCCCTAGAGACCCGCTATCGCACTGCCAGCACTGCTGCCCAGCTCACTGCGCTCCCCCCCCCCTTCTGCATGACGTTCTATTTTATCGCCATGCGCCTGCCAAACCGCCTCGCTAGTGCTCGCGATCACTTCCTTAGCCAGCACCCGTGTGACCTCACCCTCACCGCCTTTGTCGACACCCTCACCGAGATCGAGACTCGCCAGCGCACTATCGCTCAGTCGAGCGGTGCGCCGGCAGTCTCTATCTTTCACGGCTGTGCCCCCTCCCAGTGCACGTTCACTGACGTTTTTGCTGCGGTCACCACGGCGACCCCAATCACCGAGACGGCTGCTGCGGTCCACCCGCAGCAGCACTCACGCCGCGATGGCCGTGGTCGCCAGGGAGGTAGGGTGGTGGCGCAGGTGGTGGTGGTCGTCGTCGTAACGGTAGTCCGCTTGAGGGGACTACCACCAGTGGGCAGGAGCAGCAGCCCCAGCCGCAGCAGGAGCAGCCCCAGCAGCAGCCGCCGTCCCAGCAGCAGTCGCCGCAGCCGTGGGCCTGTCTCCCGCCTGGTTGGCCCGGCACCTCCAGAGGTAGTGGCAGTGGTGGCGGCCCGCGTAGCTCGGTGTCTACCGGCAGCTCCGGTGCTGTTGCTTGCCAGTACCAGCTTCAGACCGGGCCTCTTCGCGGCACTCTGTGCCGCCGCCCGCACCCGACCGCCCGCTGTTTCCGCCGCCTCGACGATCTTTTTCGTCGTCGCTTTGGCCCGGCCCCGGACCTCCCTGACTGGCACAGCCTGCTCCGCCAGGGCGTGCCGATCTTTGAGTTCGACATGGACCAGATAGGTGCTGCTTTGCATGCTTTGTATGCTGACGCTTCTAGTGTTGCTGGATCTTACTACCCTGTGTACTCTAGTTTAGGTGTTTCACCCTTGTGTAGCTTAGCTTCCCCTGCTGCGACAGGCGTAGGACTGCCTAGGTTGCCTAGTCTAGTCGCTGCACCGGCTCCGTCCGCGGCCTCCGCCACTGCGTCGCTATCCTTCACTCTCGACTCTGGTGCTTCTGCCTGCTTCTTCCGCGACCGTTCCACGCTCACGCCGCTTGCTGCACCTGCTGTTGTCTCTCTCGCTGACCCCTCTGCGGGTCCGGTCGTCGCGCGCAGTTCTACGTCCCTTCCCTGTCCGGCAGTTCCCTCGGGCTCCCTTACTGGCCTCCACGTTCCCTCGTTCTCGAGGAACCTGGTTGGTGTCGGCTGTCTCCAGGACCTCGGCGTCACCACCACGTTCCTCGGGCACGAGCGGTTCGCTGTCTATTCTGAGGCTGTCTCAGGTTCCCCCCTTGCGACCTTCCCCCCGGACCCGGTGTCCGGTCTGTTTACCCTTGACACCGCTTCCCCCCCGGTTGGTGCGTCCTCCCAGGTCGCTGCCGCTTGCTTGTGTCGGTCCCTCACTCACCCGTCCCTTCTCTGGCACCACCGCCTAGGTCACCCAGCTCTGCCATGTCTGCGTCACATGTCCCAGCACGATCTTGTCTTAGGTCTCCCCGCGTCGCTCCCTGCCCTTCCCCCCTCGACTGCGCCACCGTGCACGCCTTGCGTCGAGGGCCGGCTCCGATGTGCTCCTCACTCCTCCTCGCTGCGCCCTGCTACTGCCCCCCTTCAGACCCTGCACCTGGACGTTTGGGGCCCTGCCCCCGTCCCCGGACCGCGAGGTAAGCGCTACTTCCTTGTGCTCGTCGACGACTACACGCGCTACACCACGGTGTTTCCCCTGGAGCGGAAGGCCGACGTGCCCGACGTTCTTCTCCCGTGGGTTGTGGCTGCGCGTCTTCACCGCGGTCTCCCCGTGTTGTGTCTCCACTCTGACCGTGGCGGCGAATTCGCCTCTGGTCGACTTGGACAGTTTTGTCGTGCGGAGGGCATCACCCAGTCGTACACCTTGCCGGACTCGCCACAGCAGAATGGGGTTGCTGAGCGCCGCATCGGCTTGGTCATGGAGGTTGCTCGCACCTCCATGATTCATGCCGATGCCCCCCATTTTCTGTGGCCATTCGCTGTTCGCTACGCTGCTCACCAGCTTAACCTGTGGCCCCGCTCCCAGCGGCCGCAGGTTTCGCCGACCCTCCTTTGGACCGAGTCCCCCGGTGACGCGTCTGCGTTCCACGTTTGGGGCTGCCTTGCTCACGTTCGTGCCTCTGGCACGGACAAGCTCACTGCCCGCACTGTCCCCTGTGTCTTCCTTGGTTTCCCACTGGACTCGTCTGACTGGCTCTTCTACCACCCACCGTCTCACCGCTTCCTCCACTCTCGTGACGTCACCTTTGACGAGTCTGTCTCATTCTACTGCCGCTTCCCTCACCGAGGTCTCCCGGTTTCCCCGCCCCTGTTCCTTGCTCCCTCTCCCCCTGTCGCCCCTCCTCCT